ATGCAAAATAAGCAGAGAGGTTCATTTACTGGACATTCTGCTGTTTGCCACGTGTGGTTTTTCTAAAATTAAGGTTTTATCTCTGTTCTAGCAGCCCGCAATTCTAGGCATTCATGCCAGTGGTGGAGCAGAAAGATCCACTAACAAGATACTGTTATTGTTTAGTCGTTAAGTCGTGTCCAACTCGTCATGACCCCATGACCAACATATACTATTTAGTTTTTTAAAAAATAAAAAAAAAGTCAGCTGAAGGCAAGGAAATGACCTAATTTCTCACATTTGCTGATTCGTCTCGAGTAATTCTGTGGTAGGATTCAAGTTATGGTCGTCAACATGGAAACTAATTAGTAACATGGATATAAGCAGCATACCCTTGCTCCTCTGGGGCCTCTCCTTCCTACTGGGAATAAGGTCTCCCTCGGGCCTAGAACATCCATGGAAAATACTGGCCCAAATCCTGTTGCTTAGTGTAGTAAATCACACTATTGTAGGCCCCTTGAATCAATGGGGATCTAGTGAGTCAACCCCTCCATAAGCTCCGTTGATTTAACAGACCTTCTCTGGTCTGTGTGTGATGGAAGAGGGAACGTTGTTGATCCTGCCATTTTGAGCCTCTGTGTAACACTGTGGTAGAGGCAGGCTGCCTCCGTTTTCAAACATCATCCACCAGGCATGGTGTCCTGGTTTCTCCATGAAGCTGGTTTCCTCCAATGGATTGCAATTCCTGGGTACCAGGAATAAATGGGAACTTTCTCTTTTTACCTTCCTTCCCCTGGACTGATGAAAAAAATCTCCAGTGGCTGCTCTGCACAGCTCGGAGGTGTCCACTTCCTCCTTTTTTGGGGGTGGACTCTCTCTTTTCTTGGTCACTGTCCCCCCCCAATACAACATGGGCCCCTGGTCTTGCTGCCGAGAACAGTCACAGAGTTAGAATCATGAAGTGGAAAGGGGCCTCGAAGGCCATCTAGTCCAACCCCCTGCTCAATGCAGGAACACAAATCAAAGGATATCTGCCAGGGGGTTGTTTAAATTTTATCTTGAATGCCTCCAGCGCTGGAGCGCTCCCCACCTCTTGAGGTCATGCGTTCCATTGTCGTACTGCTCTAACAGTTAGGAAGTTTTTCCTGACATTCAACCGAAATCTGGCTTCCTGCAATTTTGAGTCCATGGTTGCATGTCCTGCCCTCTGCGATGATTGAGAACAGATCCTGCCCCTCCTGTGCATGACCTCATTTCACATTCTAGCCCAAAGCCGTCCCCAGGCTCCGTCCGTTTCCTCCTTGACGAGTTTGTAGAGAGTGTTTTCCTAAAGGCCTTTCAGAAAACCACCGCCGCCGGTCTTAAAATGAAAAACACAGAAGAAAAGAGCCGACAGCCCCCAGTGTTACAAAATCGTGTATTAATCATCTCCCTTCACTTTCAATATAACGTTGATATGAAACATATGCATGATTCGTAGTTACACGGGAGAACAAATAATAATAAATATATGTCGTAGCAAGTTGAAATCACAAGGGTGTTTTCACCAGTAATAACAACAAATCGAAAACTGTACACTTGCAGAGAAACCACAGCCCCCTCAAAGGTTAGTGTTCTTTTTTCACCCGACTCCATCTTCTTCTTCTTCTGTATAACCGGGAAGCTGATACATGTAAACAAACATGCTATTTCCATATATGACAAATTTTCTTTTTGAAAAATATGCATTGTTTGGCAACAATAACTAGGCAAAAATATTTCTTTGTGCACTAATTTATACGGGGGACATACAGCCTCCCCCCCAACCAAAAAAAGAAAAAAAAATAAGGAAAAAAAATCAAGGTCAAGACGAAAATGCATGCATGTACAACAGAGGGCTTCCCCCCTTATTTTTGCTGACAGCTGGCATGCAACAGAATGGAGACCCCAAGCTTTGTGTTGGCTTACAGTAGGCATAAATACACAAGGGTTATATATTAATAAGGGAGGAATTATTCTGGGGTTTTTGTTTTTAAACATTTATTAACATTCCTGTTTTCTTGTGGTTCCTCCCAGAGGAATACACATTCGCCTTATAAGTAAAGATTCAAGGAATACAAAAAAAAAATTAAAATGAAACTCAACTTTTGCAAACTCTGATGACTTGTATAAAATCAACTTTAGTGTTATCACAGCGGTGTGCAAATTATACTTCCCACAAGACCTAGGCTCTCTTCTGCTTCAAATCAGGCACATCTAGAAAACGTTTTAAAGACCGGGGAGGACCTAACCACAGTCCTCTCTCTTGGTGCAGCTGCTGAATCCTCAAGAAACCACCCCTGAGCAGCATCTAGTGGAAACACAGTGTTCAGTACAACGTCCTCTTGCTTGGCTCCTGGAAGCAACAATCGTGAGCCAACGTGGGACAGTGCATCACAATCTCACAGCGTGCACCGTGTTCAGCCAAACCAGGGTTGGAAATGATGTGGCTCACGAGGCACCCTATTCCCATCCCAGGTTTAGCTAAACAGAACCATGAGGTGGTGCGGCTTATGGACCCCCTCTTGGATGGGTCTAAGGATGCCCAGTGGTGGCTCAGAAACCTCTGGGGAAGGATGGAGTTGGCCCTTCAAAAGCTAAAGGACACAAAAAAAGGAGCAAAGAAAACTTCCAGAACCTACAAAACCCACACCGAGAGGAAGTCAACATGAGAAATACTGAGGAGCGGACCGGAATACGGGCCCTGTGGGGCGCCATGGCCAAAGCAGAGTATAATTCTTTTGTCAGCCGCTCTCTCTTTATTCGCTCCGCAAGGAGAAGGCCAGTTAACTTAGACCCTTCCACCCTGTGATCGCAGAAAAAAAATACGTAGCAGGAAAGGGCTAGAGGTGACAGGTCAGCTTCAGGCTAGCTCTGTGGAATGACGCCTCAAAAGAAAAGCTAGTTTTCCTCAGCGTCATTCATGTTCCTCCCGGCTCAGGAAAAGAGGGGAGAAAAGGCACTGGTGACAGTCAGGAATCAGGATTGGCAGGGTTTGAGGAGGTTGGGTGTCTGCTCAGGCGTCACTGCGATCAAAACAATCAATCTGGGGACAGGCGCATCGCACCGACATGGCGGCTATCCTGTTATTGACGTCTTTGCGAGGACTCCCAATGACACCCTCAAGCCAGCTTAAAAAATGGCACTCTGGGTCCTTTTATTCTTTCGAGGCTCAGACCCCTGTCTAATCCCATCCCAGGGGAGGATCCAACATATACAAGAATCTCTGTGCCCTCAGGAACAGTTTTTTCCTCATGGCGAGTTCCACGAGAACTAGAACGCCTTCTGTGCACCTCTGGGTCGCTGGGAGGTGCTCTTGAACAAGGATGGGACCACGTCCAGAGGATCAGAAACCGGGGTCTGACCTCATCAAAACGGGTCGGCTACCAACGCTGACCACCTTGTTCTTGATTAGACTTTTAGTTTTCTGAGGTGCTAGCCCAAGACATACAGGAGGTGACCCCAAGGCCATCCCGGTTTATTTATCAGGGGACAAGTCTTTGGTGAGGTCCCTTACACAAGCTTTATCATCACGAACAAGGGCTGTTTGAGACACACAGATGAACCCAAAGCCTCATATGACCTCAAAGCTGGTCCATTTTCTCTTTGCAACTGGTTTCAGCACCAGCTGATGGCCACCAGAACAAACCTCAAAGACCCATCGCCTGGATACAGTTCGTTTCCGCAGTGTGATATCACAACCAAGGCCTCTTGAAAAACACTGGTTCATGCTCCAGTGTGGACAGTATCACAGTGCAGAAAGTTTAAGAGCAAAACACACCCACCCACCTGCCGATTTCTCATTAGCACGCCCTCTTCTTACCAAGTAGGAGCCCCTAACGAACGCTGAAGGGACGCAAAGACCAGGATCCGTCCCCACCTCTCTCCCCATGCAGACCCAATCCAGTTACACCTAGCTGTCTGCCTTTCCCTGTTCAACCATTGTCTTAAACCACTAAAAAAAAGAAAAGCACCAATATAAATTTCATACGTGATAATAACCGCATAGGAAAACGTCGTCTCTGGCTGAGCAGGCCGAGATAACCAATTTACACACTCTTGTAATGACAGCAAGGAAAGAAAAGAAAGGAAAAAAAAAACTCCACACATTTCTACGTAGTGAAATATTTTGCAGTTTTTGACACTATCATATACTTTGCTTGTTATAAAACTGTTGCATTTGGCAATAAATGGGTAAATATAAAAATGAAAGGCACTGCCACTTTTTTTAAAATACTAAACATTTGACTTTCACGGCCTTTTTCATGCAACTTTTTCTTTCTTTTCTTTTTATAAATAGATTTTTCTTTTACTTTAGATAACTTTCAGGGGTTTTCTTCTTAAACCTGTTTTATCTACCTGCAGTCAACACAGGATTTAAGAGGGAACTCGGGAGGGCTTCTAAACATTTGTTCAAAGCCCTCTCGGATTACACAAGAAACAGAAAACACACTCACGCACTTATATACAAAACTTAAGAGGACATTGTCGCCTACACACAGTCCATACAAAAGAAGCTCATTCAAGGGTGGGAAAACAAGAGAAAGAAGGATATGGTTCTTCATATCAGAATTTTATCATGGTTACCAGCCATAGCAAGATATATATTTATCCAAAATAATAAATCTCAGTACTCAGATAACCTCTGTTTTCTATATTCAGCAAAGGAATAAATAACAGACTGATTTGCAAATACTTTGAAGAACGGCTACGCTTTTTTTACACCCACCCACCCCCAATTACACTGCATAGTTCAGTCTTTCCCCAACCTGGCGTTCTCCGTAACTGTTGGCGAGGAGGTTAAGAGAGATGTAATCCAAGACATCTTTGCCAGGCAGACAAAGCCGGGGGGTCATTGGTGGCTCCTCGTCAAGCTTCAAAACTGCCACCCTCTGGCCTTTGGTGGCCAATCCTTCTCCTACCTTCTCGGAGAAGCCACTGGCTTCCCCGGCCGGTGACCCTGGCAGGCAGCGGTTCCCAACTTTGAGTTCCCAGATGTTCTATGACCCTGGCAGACAGCGGTTCCCAACCTTGGGTTCCCAGGCGTTCTCGGGCTAAAACTCCCCAAAGTCTTCTCCACTAGCTGTACCGGCTGAGATTTGTGGATGTTGTCGTCCTCGAACATCTCGGGACCCAATGTTGTGGAACCACGGCTGGCCGAGGCCGACACGTCCCAGAATCTTATAGCCAAAAGCGCAAATCCCTAACAGGTAACTTTTTCTACCTATGCAGCCTGGGGAGGACCGACCCCCCCAGGCTGATCTGCAGAGAAAGCCACAACCGAACACGAAGAGGAGGGTTGTGTTCCGTGCAACGCAGCCCGTGCAGGAGGGAGCCAGCTGCCAGAGCAAGCCTTCTTTCTCAAGTATATATTTTTAAAAATCACCTTCTAAAAACCTTTCCCACAATCTTCTTTCTTTAGACAAAACGCATTCCCGTCCACTGTGACACCTTCCGGTGCACATGAAACCTAGAAATGACAATGGTGTTTTGGCACTTTTGTTATTATTCAAAAATAAAAAACACACACATTGAATCTCTTAAAATACTGCATCTTGAGCACACCTTCCTCGATTTCTTTCATCGACGGGCCCCGAAAATTGTCCCAAATTCAGAAGGGCCGTTTATTCCCCTCCCCCTCCACTAATACGTGTTTAAAAATGTCACTTGTACTGTTTGGCACTAAGTTAACAAGATGGGACCGGAGAAAGAAATGCTTTGTTCTCCTTGAATTAAACACTGGGTAGCGTTGGGAGTGTGGAGCGATTTGCATTACCAGCTTATCTGCGGCGGCCGGGGGGGGGGAGCTTTTTGTGTTTGGAATATGCACATTTAAGGCTTCAAACCGATTTCACATCGACTGCTGAGGCTTCCAAATGAGAAGTTTGCCCTTGGGCGTATGGAACTGAGATGTGACCATCTTTGTGACTGGGAAGGAGGCTAAGCGGGAACCACATCTATTTAAAAATGGCCTCAAACCCATTTTAATCTGAAGTATAGATTTTATCTCAACAGATCTTTAAAAATATATATATATATCCTCTGGTTTTCCAGGAGAAGCCATGCTGGTGAAACTGGTTTGCAGCCATTAATGGTTTTTGTTGGATAGGGTTGGACCTACTGTACCATGCACAACCGAGAGAGTTGTCTTCTGGGAGGAGAAGACACTCAAGGTATTTTTCCTCCATCTAGATCACTGGTCCTCGACCTTGGGCCTCCAGATGTTCTAGGGTTTCAACTCCCAGAAATTCTGGCGAGCAGAGGTGGGGGTGAAGGCTTATGGGAGTTGTAGTCCAAGAACATCTCTGGAGGCCCAAGGTTGGGGACCAGTGATCTAGACCACGGTGGGAAGAAGTAGCAAGAAGAAGCCCAGAACCGCTTTCCTGCTGTCAGAAAGCTTGGACGGGAAACGACCACCACCAACCGATGTGGCTGGAACACAATCTTCCTCCTACAAAGGGCCGAGCAGAACTCCCACTTGACGTGGTATCTAGGTGAGCCCTTATAATCAGACCTACTGTGTCTGATGTGATAGGCTGGCATGCATTAATATTTTTTGCTGGATGTTTTGAAGCGGCATCTTCCCACCATTGGCAAAAACACACAATCACAAGGCTGAAAGGGAACGCTCACGTAGAGGTGGTCAAAACTTAGCCCTCCTGACCTTACTGGATTTAAGGCCAGGAGCGTTCCTCACCTGGCTGGGGAGGGACGCTGGGGAGCTCCGAACCCACCAACATCTGGTGGGTCAGATTTTACTTACCTTGAGCCATAAAGCATGGAGTGTGCGAGACTCACACTTTTATTTCTTCAGTAGCCAAGGGTATTTATGGGTGTCGGTTGTGTTCCCCTCTACACTGCTGTTCTTTTGATTATTTCAAGTAGACACGAGGGATGGAAATGAGCCTAAGACACAGCGGGGCCTCATTCAGACCAAGCACGAGTGAACCCCAGGTATACGGCACTTGTCCAGGTAATCCCACGTGCGTCTTATGGGCTGACAACGCGAGAACTTGGAAAAGTTGCCTTTTTGAACTACACTTCCCAGCGTGCCCCAACCACCATGTCTGTTGCCTGGAGGACTCAGGGAGGTAAAACCCTGTAAAAAAGCAATGTCTCAAGCAAGGCAGCTCCCCTCTCTTTCGGCTGCTTCTGGAGGGGGGCCTGGGCGTGCAAATTAAACTCAGGCAAGCTCGAGTGCTGTCAGAGTGGAAAATGAGCAGTACGAAAGGGTTGCAGCATCAGAAAGCCCAGCGCAACCCGAGTTCTGGTCTTTCGGGCCCTTTTTCCTGACCCACCTGCATGCACTGACCTCGGCTGAGCTCCCTGCAAGAGCTGGGCTTGCTCGCTCATTTCCTCCGCTGGCTTCGTGCGTGACCCTTGTTTGCCAGGTCTGGAGAAAGGCGTCCGTGTCTTGCTTTCCAGCACAAACATTCTCCAGAACAAACGGCCCATTTAGACGGAGAGCCGCTGTCTCACACACACTGCTTTATTTATCCTTCCCTCCTGCATGGCTCTCTTCGGCACAGGAAGGGCACACTGTGCCCTCCTAGTCTTACACCTCCTCCAAGTAGCTCACGGGGCAGGAAACAACAACCAGCCAGGCATCTTTGCCTGGGGAGTCCTTTTACGGACTCTGATCGGTACAGGCGAGCAACTCCTACACCAAACACTGGCCCGAGAAGGTCAGTCCACCACCGGTTCCTTGGAAGCCGGCCCAAGGAAGCCGGCCCCCTAATCACTCCGCCCTAAGGATTTTTACTCAGAAGTATAAAGAGCTCTTTCCAAAACGACCTCAGAAGGTGGCGAAAGAGGGTTGGAATTTGGGGGAAGGCACTAAAGTAAAGTGACAGTGAACCTCTCAAGCCATGATGCATCTCGAGATGAACAACCATGCCAGGAGGCAGTCGGGAGACGAAGGCTGTTGAAGCCGGGCCCACCATTAATACTGGTTTGTTCTCCATTCTACTCCCCAATTTACACTGACAGTACTTAAGCAGAGAGTGGCTTATGGAAGGTGGGAATCATGGCCACAAGGCAGGTAGGTCTGAGAGTGGGGCCAATCCTGGCAAGAAAGGATTCTGAGCCCATGAGAGGAAGGAACCAAAGCTAGCAATACTATCCAGTAAAGATGTGCAGATCTGTGCGTCTTGAGCTACCGCTCCCAGAATTCTGGGAGCGGTAGTCCAAAGAACACAGACCTCCAGATTTCTACAGTCTACAGACACCATAGAGGGTTCCCTGATACTGTGGAAAATCAGCCATCACATAGCAAGAAATTAGTATAACTCAAAAACATGTTTCCATAGGCGGCTTTAGGTTATGTGCAAAGCCCACAAGGAGACATCTGGTGCTAAGTGGCCCTTTTCTGCGGGTGGGGAAGGGCTGTACACTTCTGCCCCATACTTATTGTCTTGCATTACAGTTCCAAGCCAAGAGCAGACATACATCTGTTCCCCCAATAGACATGCCTCTGCTCATCCAGATAAACATCCTTCTTCCTACAACATGGGACCAGCTGCGTCAAGTCCCAAATGCAGCATCCTTTTTAAATATACATTCTCTCTCTCTCTCTCACTCACGCACACACAGACAGACACACACACATAAAACCAAAGGAAGAGAACCTTCCCTGCAACAATTCCTCTGTCTGCTCTGAAACGTTTCCCGCTTCCTTCTTTGGCACCCTGCTTCGGCCCAGCTTGGAAAGACCAGAAAAAGTCACAAGGGCCCAAGTCTTCCTAGAATCAACAGCCTGGCAGCGATTTCAAAAGGCAAAACTTGCTGCTACTGAGAAAGAAAGAAAGAAAGAAAGGAAGGAAGGAAGGAAGGAAGGAAGAAAGAAGGAAAGAAAGAAAAGAAAAGAAGGAAGGAAGAAAATAATACACACCCACACAGATACCATGCAAAAGATCCTTTACGAGAGGGAGGTGGGCAGGAAAGAGAGAAGGCTCTGGATCCCTGCAGGCGGCAGCAAACGCCTGCTCTGGGATTCGGGAGTCCTGATTTCTCCTCCTCTGGCATGTGTTGCCCCTTTGGATTTGGTTCCTCTGCCCTTCTTGCTGGGTCCCTGTGTCTCGGCAAGCAGCCTTCTGCAATGCTTCCGCTCCACGTGGGCAGAGTTTCATAAGGGACCGTGGCGGGTTGGGTGGGGACACTGGCAATTACCTGGAGTAGTTAATGTGTGTGTGTATGTGTGTGCATATATATTTGGGTAACACTGCAGGAAGGGAAGGTGGGTGGAGTGCTCAGCACCTCTAAGCCGCTCTTTCCTACCCACCTTCGTGTAAACAATACACAGGATTCAAAGCCACTCTTATGAACTTCGCTGCAGGGAAAAGGTGGTTTTCCTGTTTGCTCACGGCTGTTTCCATCCGCACCCCCTTCTCCAGATTTTTTTTTTAAAAGCACAGCTCCATTTGCAGGTTGAATGTCACGTGAAATGTGGCTCATATTTACAGGTGACCGATAGGTTTCCTTCTTTCTTCTCTCTTGTGGTTTGGCGATAGGCTTCAGAGTCTCCTCCTTGGCCTGGCAGAGCCCCCTGACCTTTGCCCCATCTTCACTGCTTCCTCCTAACCTGGTCTCTTGCTCCTAAGATGCCTGCCTTTAGCCGCTCTCGAGACGCACGGCGGGAGCCTTGCCCTTTCGCTGGCTTCCCCCGCCCAAAATCTGGCTGGTCCCCGTTCTGCTTCTGACGATGTCACGGGGCAGATAAAGCGGCCCTTCCACAAAATGAAAACAAGAGAGAAAGGAGGATGGTGGAGGAAATAAGAAAACAGCCACGAAAAGGTTGCCAAATATCTCCAGGGATCTTTAGCACGTCGAGAGAGGCGCGTCTTCGAATCTGTCACTGGTCCAGCAGCCCTATATTTTCACGGCCAGCACCGTTAACGCTTCCGACGTCTAGATGGTCGAGGTCCGGTCCACGCCATCTGAAAGAACGTGTCCAGGGTTACACACAGGAACCAGAAAGCACAGCCAGAAGATCATCTAAACGTTGGCCTAAACAGGAGCCAAATCAGGCCTTCTGGGTCGATGCTCCCAGGCTTCCGAACTCCCATCGAAGTGAAGCTACACCACCTCCCCGAAGCCCCATTTTCATTAAACACCAAATAGCTTTTAAAAGTTACAGGAGCATCTGCCGACTTATTAGCCGGAAGGAGGAAGCCTAGTTTTAATGCATGGGTGCTCCCTGACTGATGTGCTTTTAAAAATGGTTTAAACTAAATTCCGTTTAAATTGGACTTACTTGTGGATGGAAAGCGAGGAGGAGGCTTTCCCTCCAGTCAATTAAACTGTCTTCACCTTTTCTTTAATCTTTCCATCTTGGCAAGGCTTTTATATAATTGTTAAAATTTTGATATTTTAATGTTTTTAATGCTTTAAGACTTTATAATGTTTTTACGTATGTAAGCCGCTCCGAGTAGACTTGGTCTAGAGGGGCAGGGTATAAATCTAATTAAAGTAAAGTAAAGCGAGGTTGAGAGATTAACCTGACTCAAAATGGGTGGGAATATCAATAAATACACATGTGCATACATAGACACATTTCTCTGTTTGAAGCAAGGTATCTGTCCAACTCTGCCCTGCTTTTCTAGACAAATCTAGCAGTGAGGGGGGGCACGCAGGGTTCACTTGTAAATTCTTCTGCATGTCCCAGCTTTTATGCGGACGAATGGATGCTCTTTAAAAGTGTTACGTAGGCGAGGGAGAAACGGCGGTGCTCAGCCGAGTCCCTTCAGGTTGCTCTTAGGGAGCGAGTTCAACCAGAGGATGACATCACGCCAGGTCAAGGAAAAATGGACGCTCTCCATTTAGAGATGGGCTTCCTGGAGGAGGTGAAGCTGGGGAGCACAGAATACCTGTTCGGCCAAAGGACGAATTGCTAAAATAGCGATTTGTGCCCATCTCTGCTCTCCATCCTTGGCACCATTTCGAAGATTCTTCTTACCCCCCTTGCCCAGAAGGGAATTAGAGCAGGATTGGGGTTAATAGGATGAAGATAAAGCAAGGTGAGCACGGGAAATGGAACACAAGGTAAGACGGGAATGAGAGAAAGAAGACAAAAGCTGAGCCCTCCTGGGTCCCACTGGTGATCCTACCCACCTTCCAAGAATCCGGTGGCACCTGCCGGAAGCCACTAGATCTCCCTGCAGCATAAACCCTGTGTGCCATTGCAAAACGGCCCGTGGCAATCTACCAAAACACAGCCCTGAAGTGAGCAAATGTGTTTTTAATGTGATACTTCTTTGATTCTTTTTTCAGTATCTGCACCCTTGCTGTTTTTAGCTTTGTATATCACCTTTTGAACGATGCGAGCCGCCTTGGGTCCTTTCGAGGTGAAAGGTGGGCGGGGGCGCCTTTTGAACGATACGAGCCGTCTTTGGTCCTTTCGAGGTGAAAGGTGGGCGGGGGGGAGAATATTGTAAATAAATACATAATAAAACTGGGGAAAAAATTTTGTGAGGATTGGTGGAGACTTCTTGTTTGATCAGGGGTGTGCCTTCCCTCGGAAATCAAAGCGTCTGAAAAGCTTACAGGGTTTAAGGCACATTTTGGAGGAATACAAGAGGCACGAATTCAAAAACATGTTTTAAAAAGGATAACAGAATAGTGTCTACTCCCCCCCCCCTCAGATTGGGTTTCTGGGATCCAGGACAGGCGAGTCTTCTTTCCTATCACTTATAGCCTGAAGTGTTTTGGAACTGAAACAGCTCAGGATTAAACCCGGGACGTCTTCTTGGTCACGGCCTCTGCTACATGGATGGCTCTTTTTTCCAAACACCAATTCTGAGGATTAAAACGGTGGTCTTAATTGGAAAATGTTGGGATGTATTAGAGGCAGATGGATCAACGCGAAACGGGGAAACGACCTAAGCCTCAGCATTTTGCTTTCATCTGTTTTGTTTATAAGCAACCTCCTCCCAGATTGGAGGCCCGAGGCAGCTGGGTTTAGGCCAGGCTTACTTGGCGAAGTTATTTTTTTAATATATCATTTTATATGTGCCTCTGGTCAAAGAATCCTTCATGATTTTTGTAGGTTTCTAGATAAACCATCGCATCAGGCTGTGGGGCGTGTGTGTCCCATTCAACATCCCTGTTTACACACCCCCGTCTCAACCGTATGGTTCTACATCGCCATGCGTGTTTCCGAAAACTCTGGTTTCGGAACCCAACTATTTTTAATGTTTAATGTAAAACCTCCCCTCTTTCCAAGCTCAAGCGTGGAATATCATCTTGAACGTGGCAGCTCTTTCACCCATCCGCAAGAGCGTCACTGCGACCTCCCATTTTTCTCTTGGAGAAGTTCAAGAAGGACGTAAGAACTGGAAAGGAGCCATTGTCATTTTAACACCCACCCCCACCCTGTCTGCTGCCACGAGGACTTGCATAATGCTCTCCTTTTAGTGCTGAAGTGAAGCAGAGGAAATACCTCTGAGGGTTTCTGCTAACGCTGTGGCTTCTAAGTTACACAGGCACAGATGGCAGAGAGACACAGTGGGTTTTGTTAAGGACGGAGGCTGAGTAGCCCCCTACAACTTCTCTGGCCGTCTCCAAGTGAGCTGTTCCATCGCTCTCCCTTGTCAATGCTTTTAAGTCAAATAAATATGACCACTGCCTGGCCCCCATAAGCCTGAATGGATCCACCCAGGAAACTTCTCAGACGTAAGAGCAACAAATGTGGAGTCGTGCTAAAGGTCTGATGCAAGCAGAAATCACACAGAAGCCAGCCAGACTCAAGGAACCCACTTGCTTCCCCTCTTTCTTTACCAAGTTATTTATAGCAGTGGTTCTTAACGTGGGNCCCAAGTTATTTATAGCACTGGTTCTTAACCTTGGGTTACTCAGGAGTTTTGGACTGCAACTCCCAGAAGCCTTCACCACCAGCTGTCCTGACTGGGGTTTCTGGGAGTTGCAGTTCAAAAGCATCCAAGTAACAAAGGTTAAGAACCACTGATTTATAGCATCCTTCCAACTGGAAATCCTTGGCCATGCGTTATTGGATGGAAACAACTGACAGGGAACAAGATTCAGGTGTGAGATGTCTCCGTAAGATGCTTTTCAAAGCAGCTGCAGAAAAGATGACCCTAGCTGTCCTAGTGCAGTTTGAAGGCATATGAGAAGCCAGGCCGAAACAGGTCTCTGACGCTATTTCATCTCCTGGGCTGAAATTCTGATGGACCCTTTGGGTTTCTCTTCCACCTTGACGAGCGCAACTTCCTCAATTGACACTTCATCCTTTGAATGGCCGCTGGCTTGCTATGATTGCTCCTTTTCACCCACAGCATGGAAGCCTCTTCACTCAGAAGGAAATTCCGGGGGTGTGTGTGTGTCTTCTGTGAGGCTTACTCCAGAGTAGGACAAATAAGAAGGACCTAAATAGGCTTGCCCATCTCCGTCCTTCTAAATCTGGGTCTCTCTTTCTCTCTCTTACTCTTCTCTCCTCTTGTTAGTGCCATCTTGACTTCTACCACCTGGTTTAGCACAATAGACAAGACACCCAAATATGCTATATTGGTGGAAATGCAAAGGAGGAAATAAAACGTCGTACTCACCTCCCAGGGCGTGTTCGGTCATACTGAGGCACAACGACTCCAGCCTGTTATTGATATCCGGTTCTGTTGCCGGTACCGGGAACTCTGCCGAGGTAAGGAAGAAAATGCGTAAGGTGAAGAAGAAAAAAACCCCACTGAATGCTAGAAGGAACTTCACAATGGGATCACCACCAGGACTTTTGTGTATTTTTTTTACTGGGACACTTTTCAGTTAGAGGTGGGCTTCTGGACTACAACTCCCAGAATTCCGCAGGCGGTCAAGCTCCTCCCCCCACTCTCCCTCTTTTTTCCAGGATGACGGACAGATGCCTTTCTAGCCAGCTGAACCAAACACCTCGGAGAGATTTATCTCTAGTGGCAAAGGCGCTTCTAGGACCTCAGAGGTCTCGTCTGCAAAACCCGTTTGCAACAAAAATCCAAATCCTTTTCAAGTCTTTCATACCCGGGAATACTCACAGTGGGTTCAAGGGGAGCTTTTTGGCAAGGCTATTCTCCATCTCTCGTTTCGCTGCTCTGAAAACAAGGAGGGTGGCCAGCCTGAACAGGAAAGGCTTCTTGACAGTGGGGGTTCTGTGTGCGAATTGGACCTCCATGAAATGAGAACCCCAGTTCACATGGAGAGCCCCCATGGACAGCGGAAACTCTCCTGTTCATATTCGCCACCTCCCATGCATTCAGGGTTAACAGCAGGGAGAGGGGGAGAGGTATTGACTAGAGTGTATGTCCTAGGCGGGGTGAGAATTCCTGCATCGTCATGTCTGTAAATTCCCAAAGTGAGATGGAAAATACAGGGGATTCCACACCGCTCCCTTTTCTGCTTAGGGTTGCAATCCAAAAGATCATGAGTCATAAACAAACGGACTGTCTCAATGCAGCTAGCTTTACTGAAAAGCAAAAAAGGAAGGATTCAATTGCAATTAATTGCACATAAGCGGCAAGAGTCCAGAGGCCTCTTGCGACATAAGGCAAATCGTCCGTACAGCGATAAGCATTTATCGGCTTGATGCAAAAATTATTTATGCCCCTTTGTAACTTTTTTCATCTCCAGAGTACGCTGGGACTTTCCAAACTATTTCTTAACACAATGCAGCAAAGCATGCTGTCCATCATACATTTCCTCTGCTTCAGCACATTTCTTCTGCGGTTGCCAGATGGTGCTGGGTATAAATTCAATCAATCAACCAATCAATCATCGCTTTCTGTCTTTCCTGGCGGTCCCGTTTTGATCCCGGAAAATCCTAATTTCATGAACTGAAGTCTGCCTTTTGTGTCAGGCTGACCGACGGACGGTTTGCCTCCCAGATTTTTCACAAGCTCACACAACGGAGGTCCGGTTTGTACTGGGATGGGAGAGGATCAGCAAGAATCTCCTGGTAGCGCTGGGGAAGCCCAGCCAGGTAAGGGTCAGAAACACTGACTGATGTAGCACAAGGCTCTTCCTGTAAGGCTGCTCTCCCCCCCCCGTTCCTGCGAGACAAAGCGTGAGGATACCTTACTTACCAAATACGGAGGGGAGAGAGAGTGAGACAGTGTGTGTGTGTGTGTGTGTGTGTGTGTGTGTGTGTGTGTGTGTGTGTGTGTGTGTGTGTGTGTGTGTGT